TATGGTGATTTCTGAAGCTCCAAAGCAGTCAAATGAATGATTTTGTGACCCTCCAACATGACTCACAGCAGAGCGTCATGGCAGGTAAGAGCACTTCTGTGACGGACGCCTCTTTTTTTTAAACGCTCATTAACAGCAAATATCTTTCAATACTGAATTAATATGGGAACTTTGTTTGAGCATGGCAAGGTTGATGAGTGGCCATTAATGAGCCTGTTCAAGGTTATCTACTGCTGTAAGCCCACTCTGATGATGTGTCTGCCGTGGAAATTTGAATAATGAAAGCTGACAAGTGTCTTTTACTGACTTTGTAGGGTCAATTTACCCTCAAACAAATTACACATCACTGGTTTAAAAAAGTAATAGTGAGCTACTGTGGTGAGCATGATGAGAATAAGAATGATCGTCTTTGTTAAAGTAAAAGTGAAAATAAAACTAGAAACACTGGCTGTAGACAGCACTGTCAGGACGGGGACAAAGATCTGAATGTAGAGTTCAGGACTTCTGTCCTGTTTAATCACTAAAACATGTTGACACATGTCTCCAGGAGACATTTTTGGACATTCAAAAATGATGTTTGAAACTGTGTCCATGTCAACTATCTGCGTCCATGTCAACTATTTTATCCAAACTTGAATGGAAAGATGTTTAAATTACCGAGCTTTACAAAAGGTTTTATCAAAAAATGTCTTTTTTTCCCCATAACTAAAAAAAAAATTCAAAGGAACACGATTTCAGTTCTTAGTTGTGGCCAAAAAAAACAAACAGATTAACTAAAATTGACACTGATCACAGGCAAAAAAAAGCAGATTAACTAAAATTGACACTGATCACAAACTGATTTAAAGTCAGTGTCAGTAATCCTCTAAGAAGCATAAAGTACTTAAAATTCTAAAATCTGACAAAATGTAACTAATGAATTTTCTGTTGGATTTCGACACTGGCGTTAAGAGACGGACCGGTGACACATTCCGGCTTTGATTACACCTTTTCATTGTGTCTGAATGTTGAAGAATGTGTCATTACTTTTCAAACATGTTTAGGCCTGCAAAAATGTGACTCGGAAAAAGGTAGAAAAATATCTGACACCCACAGTCTGATCTGACAGATTCCCAAAGTGACTGCAACAATGTGTCGTTGTCGGCCCTAATTAGCTGTGCAGAATCGGGGGGGAAGCCTTAAAAGGCTAATTCAAAAGAAAATCCTTTTTTGATCAAATTTTAATTTAAAGCGTGTTTTTCATCCTGGCCACAGTTGACATTTTTGCAGCATCAGTGCTTTTGCAAAAACCTCCTGATAAGCAAAAGGTTTAGGCTGCAATTCCCAGCGTGGGCACTTTTTTTTCTTTTTTCTTTTCTTTTTTAGCTTGTTGCTGTGTGTTTTCTTTATGAATTCAACCAAATAAATCATCCCCGTTAGCTAGGTCAAGTGTCTTTTCTGAAATATATCCTACAGGCTTGATAAGCACAATGAGACACTTTGTTGTCCTTTTTTTTTCCGCCCATGTTCAAGTCTCATCAGTATGGAGAGCATCATCTGGGACTGTTGCTCGTTCCTTGAAATGTGAAACCTTGCTGGTTTGCTGCACCAAACACTCACAGGAGCTTAGTGTGCACATCTATTTGCATGTTTATGTATGCTGCATTGTCTGTTTTATGTTAAAGTAGCAGCCCTGCTTGTATTATTTCACTCGGATACCTGAAACAGCATGCCCAAGGCTGCTGCCACTTAATTACCTCCCGGGCTTCTGCAGGAGAAGTCTGGCTCTGATCCAGAGCGCTCTCTGGAGAGGAGAGTGAAGCGCATCTGAGCAATTGGTTTCAATTTACCATGAGAGAAACACGCCTTTAACATGAGAGGCAACGCAAACATTAAATAGGACCTCACCAAAAAACACAATTCACGTCGTACTGAGCAGCGATGATGATGTCGAGCGAAGTCAGTACGAACAAACGGACAAATGTCTCCCCCAGGATGGAAACAAGAGGCTCCGTATATGAATTGATTATATCATCAGGTGTCACTTCAGGGAGTTGGTCCGCTGATTAATTAGACAATTAGGATAATGAGAGTTGACCTCAAATTCAATTTCACTGACAACAGGTGCTGTCAGATTTTGTTGTTGTTGTTGTTAAAAATCCAGTCCTGACTCTTGATTGTCCTCCTCCAGGAACTGATCCACGATCAGTGAGTTGGATCCAGCCTCCTGAAGCAGAGACCTTACGATGACATGCAGCAGATCGACCTGTGACATCATACAGCAGACAGCAGAGTGTGAATTGAAGGTGTTGTGCTTTTGCAACGTCAGCATTTATGGCAAGGCTGGATGATCGTATGTGGTTATGGTAAACAGGCTCATCTCCTATGATTACACACATGACACAGTGTCATTAAGTAGGAAGTGTGGCAGCCTTCACCTGTCCCACACTGGGCTGCACAGCAAAACAAATGGATACTGCGTTAAAGTGTATCTGTGAGTAAACTTCAGCTCATGCAGTACTACGTCTTAAAGTAGGGTTTATTTATATGATGTCAAAACCTGAAGGGGGCAAAAAGGGAAAAGAATCACACCTTAAAAAAGTGAAAACTTCTTTCTGTTTTTAAACATTGACATTATGTCATTTCTTTAATACATATTGACTATTAATTGCAGTTCAAATAAATTCACAACAACAAATATTTATATTTTAAATAGTTTTCATTCAGGTTATGGTTTAAAAAAACAATATTTTTCAAGAGCCAAAAAAAAAAAAATTCTAACCAACCCTGTGTACAAACCTGTAAATAAACAAGAAAGACAAGAATTACTGTAAAAAATTAATTTTTAAAAATTCTAACGGTTTAATTGGACACTTTTTGAATTTGTTACATTACCTGTTTCGGGTCTTTTTGACTTACCCTCTTATTTACATTATCTCTTCATTAGTGGACGACTATAAAGTGGTATCAAATTATTTTTTTATGCTGTTCATATTAATATTCTCTCGTCTATTAAGTGTCTACAGTTATTACCATCGTTTCTCCAGGACACGGTGCAGACGCAGGACGGTGCTCATGTGACGTGCTGACGTCACCAGATTTTTGACAGCACTTCCTGGACTGGGGTTTGTTGTGGGAAATAACCACCGTGCTGTTGGACCTCAGACACAGGGGGCGGGCGGACACGTCCAGGCGACAGCGTTCTCCACTGGTCCACTGCTCTGTCCCCACCTGCACTCAGACATGCGGCCGCACCGGTACCAGATGAGATAGTCAGAAAAGGAAGGAGAAGAAGAAGAAGAAGAAGAAGTGAGGAGTGGACACCGACAGTCAGACAGAGGAACAGCCTGCAGAGGAGCCGAGCACTGCCGCCGACAGCCCGCAGCTGGCGCGGCGTGGTGGGCCTATCTCTTTATTAGTGGACGACTATAAAGTGGTATCAAATTATTTTTTTATGCTGTTCATATTAATATTCTCTCGTCTATTAAGTGTCTACAGTTATTACCATCGTTTCTCCAGGACACGGTGCAGACGCAGGACGGTGCTCATGTGACGTGCTGACGTCACCAGATTTTTGACAGCACTTCCTGGACTGGGGTTTGTTGTGGGAAATAACCACCGTGCTGTTGGACCTCAGACACAGGGGGCGGGCGGACACGTCCAGGCGACAGCGTTCTCCACTGGTCCACTGCTCTGTCCCCACCTGCACTCAGACATGCGGCCGCACCGGTACCAGATGAGATAGTCAGAAAAGGAAGGAGAAGAAGAAGAAGAAGAAGAAGTGAGGAGTGGACACCGACAGTCAGACAGAGGAACAGCCTGCAGAGGAGCCGAGCACTGCCGCCGACAGCCCGCAGCTGTCGCGATGTTGTAGTCAAACCATGGAGAGCAGAATCAAGTAAGACGGCGCTTTTTTTTGACAATTCTCTCCGTGTCCGGTGTTGAAATCTTATAAAAACGCACAGCTAACGGCTAATGACACGACGCAGACACGTCACTGTGGACGTAGAGACCCACGCAGGAATGTGGGGGGTAAATTGAACCATCATGTCCAGCCGTGGATTTAAGAACTGAGGACCAGCTGGTTCCCCAGCATGAGGGTCACTCTGGCTGTTCCCGTGAATTTTAGCCACCACTTATTAGCCGCTGTGCTAGTAAACAGAGAGACAGGATACGAAGCGATCCGGGGCACACATTCCTCCACAGCACATATTGACACTTTATACCGTGCCGTGAATCAGGCCTTTTATTGAGCTGTTCATGATCAGCAGTTGGTGTTTGTGTAACGGAACGTTACTCACCCACTGGTGTGTGTGTGTGTGTGTGTGTGTGTCTCACCCTCTCCCCCTTTCTTCTTCACAGGGAGAATCCAAAGAGGACTTTTGATGTGGTCGTACAGGTGGCGTGTCCTGCTTCTGAAAATGAAGGTGAGTCCTGACCACGTCTAAAGCTGACCACACACACACACACACACTCTGAGACGTTTTGCCACAATTTACCCATGATTCCCAGTTGGACAATGTCTGCACCAGTCTGTACTTTTAACCAAATCTGAGCTCGACCTTGTGGTGTGAACTGATCAGTATCTGATTTCAAACTGCCATTGAAAAAGAGAGTGTATGACACAGGAAATGGCTTCAGAAGATGACAGGAAGTAACAAGAATATTGTCGACAAAATTGTCGACAGTGGGACGGAGCGGACAGTGTGTGTCACAAAATGAACCTGGTCCACAGACAGGGCAGGAGGTCGCACCAGATTACGATGGGTTCAGTTGATCCCTCATGTTCGTGTGTGTGTGTGTGATACAGAAGGAGTGTGTTGTTTTCACGGTGCACTCGGTGTCTTTTCAAAAACTAAAAAAGTTGTTTTCCTCAGTCCCCACACTTCTGATGTCATCTTTTATTTTATTTCTGTAGCGATGTTGTAGATAGGATTAATAATAATGTTGTTAACTTTGTTAGTATTTGCTTCAAAGTGTATATTTAGTATTGGGACAAATCTGGAAACACAATCAGAGTTGAGAGAGAAAGTAGTCTAAAGTCCAACTGGACAGGAAAATGTAAATATACATAAGGATTGTTGGACTTTTACCTGTAGGTTTGACTCTAACTCAGCTTTTGAGTTTCTTAAAATTAAATAAAAAATAAAACTCATGTTCAAGATCATCGGACAGTGCTTCTCCACACTGGGGGCAGTTTGAAAAAAGGCACTTTTTCATATGTCATGTGTTACATATTCATGTTGACACTTGTGATATGTCATGTGTTACATATTCATGTTGCTGCACGTATACTTGACATAAAATGACCCAGGAAACACAAATGTGTTTGTGCGTAACAGGAAGCCAAACCTCGAGGGTGACTTCCTCCCATGATCGCTCTCCTTTTTCAGAAGAAGTAGAGATGTGGTGCACAGTTGTAGAGCTGAGTCGGGCTGCACGCAGAAAACATCAGTTCACAATGAAAGCGATGGAAAACAGCGATACAACCGTGTTGTGAAAGTACAAGCCAAGTTTTAGTTCAATTTTCCACCTGGAGCCGTGCTGTAAATTTGAATTGCGGTTTGTCTCTGTTGCACAGCCTAAACTCTCCACACGTTACTGTCCATTTGAATACATTTGTATATAATTTGTCTGCACAAATAAGTTCCGTTGTGCTTTGCGTGACTCCAGTCCTTTCTACAGAAAGCTGTAAATACAATTTCACACCATATTATTTCCCGCTAATTTTCATGCCTCTGTGCCTGTGCAAAGAAGTGGAGTTTACATATTTTGGCGTACTGATTGGCTGACACCTGACCAGATGCTAGCATAGTGTTTTGCAAGTGACAACTAAATATTTTGATGTTATTTTAACACTGTGACTCTAACTGTTAATGCCTTTGTGCCTGTGCAGCCATGTTTCTCTGACATTGTGAGGTGAGGTCTACATATGAACTGTTGATTCATATCTAGTCCTTTCATTATGCCCCCAAAAATAGCAATTTAAAAACAGTTATTTTAATGACTAATCTAGTACAGTTTGTATCTGTGCTCGCTCTCACAAAGGACCGACTTTGACCAAAAAGTGTCAAATAAGACTTTGGAAAGTGTGGCCCCGAGCTCTGGAAAAGCTTTATGAGCATTTTTCACATTTATTTTTTTACATTTTATAAACATAATAGCTTGGACATTTGTTTGGATATATACTTTTGTGGGTTCTCGGCACCGGCGTCTCATTGTTTGTTTGCAAGAAATAGACAGTTTGTGGTGTAATTACAGTAATTGCAAGGCACAGCCAAGTTGTCATGCGCTGCAGTGAATAGTATTTTGGGAGTCAGGCAGTGAGCATCACACAACAACACTGCAGGGCCCAGTCTTAGTCCTGCACCACCAGGGCAACAATTATGTCTGTGTTGCTTTTGTGTGAGCTCCGCCGTTTTGGTTCTAACAAAAAGCCATCATTCTGGTCGTCCGTTCGCCATTTTAGGCCTTTCCCTCGTAACTGTTTGGCTGATGCTTCACCATTTTAGGCCTTTCCCTCGTAACTGTGACCCCACAGAGACGGTCTGACCACACCTGGTCAGCTAGCTGTGTTAACAGCTGCACTGATTTCAGTGGTCAGGCATTCCAGCACTGGTGGTGGTTGGGGACCAGAGCAGCCGGGGAAATAAGTGTGGCCACTGTACAACAACATCATATTCTGACTTTATGAATATGGGGGGAAATAAAAGACCCCATATATCACTACGCAGTACAGTGACACTCATAAGTCAAATATCGTGTAAAAACATTTTCACTGGGTCTTATGGCCAGCTCTCTGATTTCTTTTTCCCCCTCAGAGTTTTGACATTAAAGAGGTGCGATGTTGAGGCCTGAGCCGTGCAGCTGCTGAACTGACCAGAGGAGGCTGAAGGTTGTCCTTGGATGTAGTTCTGATATTGGATTTTAGACCAAACTCATAAACCAGCAGCCTGTGCTGTAATAACCGACTTCCCCCCACGTATGATCCAGGGTCAGACTCATATCCGGACTGCAGCTCCCTGGAGCACAGCTACACAGCAATGTTTGCACACCCCTCAGGTCAAATGGAACATGAACATTCTGCTCAGTCATTTGGCTGAAGTTCCCTCTCTCTCTCACTTTCTCTCTGCCTCTCTCTCCCTCTCTCTCTCTCTCTGTCTGTCTCTCTGCCCTGTGTGCGCTGAGACCCGATGGAACAGAATACTATCCATGCAGAGGAAGTTGTTATGTACGTGTATCGTATATGGGCTAGCATTGAATTATGGTTATGGTGCTTTTCAGCGCAGTTTCAGATAACAGTATGGGGAAATGATCACTTCACTCTGAACACAATCAATTTCCCTTTCTTTAACTCAACTCTAGTTTAGGTTTCTGTGAAACTCTTTTCCGTTTACTGAACAGCAGCTGTAAAATGTGACCTTATCCTTTAGTGCTGTTTGCCTTGGCCTTAGTGCTGTGGTTTGTAATTTGAATATCAGATGAAACGGTTAATGCAGTGAGTCATAGCAGGTTGTGGCCATGCTGTGAAACCCCTCCCCCCCCCCCCCCCCCGTGTGTGACTTGCTGCAAACTTTAGCTGTTTCCTCTGCAGCAAATAATATTGCGATGGCAACAGACTGGTTCCATGACTGTAACATCCTGGTGTGGTTTACACTCCAGCTTTCACAGAAGTGTTGCACGACTTCAGCTGGTTCTGGTTCTTTTGGTTGACACAGGTTTGGTCTGATTGTGATTCTCTGACTGGTTCTGCACAGTCGCTGTGCTGCAGTGACTGTATGGGTTTCCTCCTTGTTGAACAGGAAAGCTTGATGTTTCGCTGATGCTGCACACGTGTTCTGCCACCCTCACCACATCCTGGTTAGGCAGGTCTGAAACTAGATCCCTGTGCAGTGGCGTGTCTTGTTGTTGAAGCAGTCGTGGCTTCATAAGGGGGCACGATGATCAGCCCACTCTGAGATGACAAAAATGAATACTGTCGGCAGGTAAAACTATAACGGTGGGGTTGTAACCCTGCTTCTTGAGGTTAAGTGGTGTTCACACTTTCACACTTTTTTTTTTTGTACACCAGATGAAACAGGCTCATCTGTGCCGGAATTGGAATAAAAATAAAAATAGACTTAATATAAAATATATGAAAAATACAATATAACTGTGTCATTTTAGACTTAACTATACACATAGATAATTACATTTAAGGAAGGAAACATTGGAATTTACAAGACTGAAAACATACCAATATTTACAAATATGTGCAATACATAGATAGAACTTTATTAATTCATTGGAAGTTCCCTTTGGGTAAATTAAGGAATATATTAATATTCCTTATATGAAATCCCAAGCTAAAATATCCTAATATGGAAGAATGGCTTTTTATCAAGTTCTCAGCCAAGGTTCGGGCCACAGGTTAGGGTTAGAGTTTAAAGTTGACAGTTAGCATTTACTTCAGGGTGGGATTAAGTTACAGTGTGGATGTGAATGAACAGCTTAGAACAGAGACTCTGTTTGTCCTTGGCTGTGCCTGTGGGGACACGAGTAAGATATAGTTTTACCGTATGACCAAATGAAAGAAAAAGAAAATCTACACCTGCTGACGTCACCTGATATTCAGGATTTGTCAATGTCCAAACTGGAGCTATTTTTCTAATCAATGATCGATCAATCAGTTGTTTATTTTGATTAAAATAAAAATCCCAACAACAATAATATTGCTATCTCTACATAAGTCACAGAACGTGACAGAACCAAATGTACTCGTATTGATTTAGTCCATCAATAGACTGTACATCAGGTCTCTATCCATTCTTCAGTTTCCTGTTGGAATGTCTGTTAAATGAACATCATTTTATACGTAAAATAGAAATGCATTTGTAGTATTTTTTTTGTGTCTGTTTTGTCGTCTGACTGAAAAATTTAAACAGAGTTAAAAAAAAAAAGAAACGATTCGTCATCCTTTTATGGTAAGGTTACAGATCAGATCAGAAAAACAGACTTTCAAAGAGGCAAACTTGTGGCCCTTGTGTAAATGTGCCTTGGTAACTGTTTCCATGTGTGGGTATAATGTCTTTGACTGGACTTCATGCTGATTTTCCATTGAATGAAGGCAGTGAGGTTGGCGAGGAGCAACAACAGCATAGAGTTCACTGCTGAACGTCCAGATAGGTTTGACATCGGTTGGAAATCCCAATAGTTTTTAATGTTCCATTTATATTGTTACACGTTGCAAAAATACGACATAGATTTGATTGTAATAAAGACATTCATTCACTGGTAGTAAAAATGGATTCTTGTAATTTTGCCACTGCACTCTGCTCCTCGCTTGATAACATTTTCTCTGTAATTTGGAATTCATGATCACATCGACAGTATGTTCTATAACTGAGGCGCTGCCGGGGAGAGGGGGATAAAAATAACAACAAAATAA